CTCATACGCCAAAAAAGTCTATTAACTGGTAGTTGACTTCTCATTTCAAACTACTATCACCTCACTATATGTCCTATTCGACTACTTCCATAGTACTCACGTAACCTTTTTTTTACCTTTGTGTCTATCTCTTTTACATCTTTGAAACACTCTACCTTTGTGTCTGTCTCTTTTACATCTTTGAAACACTCTTCAAACTTTGTGTCTGTCTCTTTTACATCTTTGAAACACTCTTTTGTTCCCCCCCCCTCCCCCTCTCGACTTTTTTCACTTTGATGTTTTCCACCTTTGTGTTTGTCTCTTACATCTTTGAAACACTCTTCTGTACCCCCTCCCCCACCCTCTCGACCTTTTTAAATTTGATGTACCTTACTCCCTGTGAAGCCTGAAGTCAACTAAAGGGCTAATGATAACCATCAAGATGCCTGTCATTTGAGATAAATAAATCTCCTTAACCACTCTCTTCTAAATGTAGAAGTGAAAAAAAACAGTAAAATTGTACATGCTGTTCGTCCCTATGTGATATAAGCCAACTAATTCTTGCGTATTTTTACTAGGCCAAAAGACTTATTGGACCCATGGCCTGTCGATTTTGCCTAAGAATTCACAACTGGTCATATATTTTGGCTAATAAGGATAAAGATTTTATTTAAGAAATTATTGGCGTACAGCACGGCATCTGCACATAATTGCCGCCATGAAGGAAACCACAAGGCTAGAAGTCCAAGCCACAACTGAGAGCATATATGACCAATCTTTACCTATTTGACCAGTGTAGACCAATACACCAGTTATCGTGATTAGAGTTCCCAAATAGAGACAGACGAGGTAGGCTAGACCAAGACCCCGTTGACCAATCAAATCTTCGGTTGAACAGAAACGGACCAACCCAATTATGAAAGCGGCTGTCCATAGCAAAAGGCCAGTAATGAGGAGGGCCGCGCAAGTAAGAGCGGTGTGTTTATGATGGACAACGTCATAGTTGAAGAGATTACCGCCACGCCAGTGGTTGAGACAGATTGATATGGAGAGGAAACAGAGGGCAGAACCCAGAAGGAGGGAGGATACGATTAGGTTAATTGGTGCCATTTCAGAAGGTCGAAGTAATAACTATTGGCTTTCGGAAATTATGCAAAAATTAATCTCACGAGCATTGCGGATTCAAATGAGATCGACCTAAACGCAGAGTTAAAATAATAGCGTAAAGTGGTTATGAAAAAGAAATTCAATTATATTAAAGTAAATCATTATGAACTTAAAATTGTTGTTTTAAATAAAATTCGGGATGGGCGAATTGTTACAAATTCACCACGTTTACTTCTTGATACGCGAATTAAAACGAATAATATTTTTGAAGGTAACCAGCTTAAAAAGACCCGCATTGAATCTTTATGACAGATGAAACAATGTTTCGGTGTCAATATTCTGATGAAATTATAATTGTAAATTAAAATACTTCATTTCGACGTTGATTCCGCAGCTCACAAAATTAAAGTAAAATACGGTGTCGCCAGATATGCTTGACGGCCATCACAGATTTAAGCGAGAGTTTCGAATCCTGAGGGTAGCTATTTGAAATTCCCCGATTCTTTTATTTCAATACTCTTCACAAGGCTAATAATGGGATTAAAATTATTGTTTATATTATCACCCAATTCAGTTATGTGTTAATTATCTCTCGTTTATTGCACCTAATTGGGAATAAATTCTTTACACTGGCAGTCTGTAATTACCTGTACACTTATTGATTGCCTTTGTATTTTTTAAGCGATTATACTTTAGAGAGTACATATTCTCATTTACCGATTGATTGGACAAAACACTTTTCGCTAAGTTTGGTCAGGTCGGTTAATTTGATTAGGCATCATAAATTATGGCAGATGCTTTAGTGCTGTAGCAACTGCAGCAAAACATTTGAGGTATCATCCATTATATTCGAGGCAGTTTCTTTAAATAGTAGGCCCTACCATAATTGTAGGACTTGCAGCATGTCCAATGAAAGTAATTTTAGCTTGCGAAATGCTACTCCAAGATAGGATGAGAAAACCCCTTAAAACAGAACTCTCAAAGCACCTATACTAGGACGAATTGGCACGGCCGAGTAACAAACACATGGATGGTGCTTCATTAATGTCCCAACTAGTTGTATAAAGTGATAATCCCCACTTAAGATATGGGCTTGAATTTTTAAAGGGATAAATTTTGGACGAAAATAATTTGAAACTTAATATGTAATACTTTACCTAAAGGATAAATATTCACAGCTATGCACAAATGTACATGAAAATGGCAAGTTATTGTAATAGAATGATAAACTCACTATAGTTGATGCGCTCGAATTTTCGAATGAAAATTTCTCAAATGCTAATCCGCACAGCAAACTCACTCGCATCCACATGTGTGCTAAAACCAAATTAGCCAATCAGAAGTCCGAATTACTCACCTTCACACTTCTGGGTATATCGCACAAACAGACTCCTTAAACAGAGCTAAATTCAAGCACCTGCTCGAGCAAGAATGGCGACAAAACTCATTCAAGTCAGCCATCTACCGGTAGTTCTTTTAGGGGTTGCCTTCATCTTCTCTGCAATAGGAGTTGGTACAAGTGCTTGGCATGGAGGAAGTCTTTTTGCAACAAGCAATCTCCATTGGGAACACCTGTGCACGGCAGTGGGCGCTCTTATGATACTCGGTTGTGTCGGAATGGGTTTCGGATTTCTTCTAGCTATCTACTGGACAAAGTATCCTGATACAGTAGGCCCTGTGCTATTGGCGTTTTATATTAATCTCTACGTGGGAACCGCAGCTTTGACTATAGCGATTCTTGTCTTTACGACGAAGATAACAACGTCATGGTCTTTTCTAATGGCAATTATGGCTTGTCATTTTGCTGTTCTTACCGTTTGGGCTGATCTACCGATGCTGATGGCGACCCCGTTACCCTGGCAACGAAGACAAAGAACATTGTATAGTTAACGTTTTTAGTCAATATATATTTTAAATATTATGAAACCATTTATTATGACTACATTTTCTAATAGAGAATCATCTTTGTACACAACTTGTTCTACTCCTAAAAGAATTAAACATTACGCTTGATATTTTGATAACTTTAAAGAACCTGAAGACATCATTCGTCTGTTCATCGCAATCTAAATTACCATAGCAAACTAATTACACTTCCTCTTACTTCCTCTCTATCATTCTTTCTCCCATTATTTAATTCCCACATGTTCAATGCACATTTGTCCAACCCGTCTCTTGGTCCTCGCGCACGCCCATGACTGCTAATTCCTGTTGACCTTAAGAAGATCATTAGTTCAAGGAGATGACATCTGGCATAATTCATTGCTCCTCTAAAAGTAGCTTTGTATTGGGTTGGAGTTACCTAATTAGTGAATAAATCCACCACTTAAACTCAAACTGCTACTACTGGGTTCGATGAAATGTCAAAATTCTTTGAAAATTTCGTTTTTATCTTCATGAAATTAAGATATTAGAATTTAAAAGTCTATTGAAGTGAGATGGCATGCATAAGTCTAGTTAATAGATAAGTGTGTTTCATCTATGCTACATTGACTAGAAGTGCATTGATGAGTTTCGAATCCATATGTTGAACCCTACACCAATAAGTCCTGATTAAATCTTAACAATCCTGTCTGGAAATATCCCCTAAGGAAAGAGTGCTCTTGAAATTAGCATACGAAGTACAAAGTGTATGACTTGGACTGGGTTTAATAGGTATGCGACCCACCAACTTACATAATTAAGCATTTAATACAACTGGTGTTATTCTACGTTGTCTGATCGCAATTGCTGACCGACTGAGAGGTTACTGCACACGACACCGCGCATTCTAGAATGTTCTATGGTGAATGAAGTAGCATTGTGCGCTACATATCCATGATCTCTGTTTTCGTGGACCAGTATTTTGACCAAAGGGACGAAATTTCATGACAATTATTTCCAAATATTTTTATTTCAAGCATTTTTTGATATTCTTAATTTTTATTTAATTGTATGAAAAAGAAATGATGCTATTGGCATGCTATGTAAAATAAAGCTCATCAAATTTTCTCAAATATAACCTTATTGAATACCAAGTGACAACGAAGAACCAAATTTTATGTCTGAATTGATTTATTTTCAGTAGATATTCCATTACTTTTGGCGCAAAACCGTATCATCTTTGTCCATTAGAGCACCATTAAATTTTACTGTAGCAACGGGTCTTTCGCACCTTTTCCTCATAGCAGGATCAACTCTGAAAAGGAAAAGTAGTTGATACAGTTTATACCATCACACCAATTCGATTCAACGTTTCATTAAAATAGTTAGAGCACTTCCATACAACCAGTGCTACTTATTAATAATCAAGTAGCATACATTCAAGCTTACATAATGTCGAGTTTGTCACAAATGATAAGCAAGCTGTTTGGGTGAGACATGACCTTTTCATTTACGGAGAGATTTTCCAAATATCGGGCGACAATGGCTTTGAGGCGCCGATTTTCTTCCTCTAGGATCTGACGCTCTTTTAGTAAAGCCAGTTTATCCAATTGGACTTTGCTAAATCGCCGCCAAAATATATCCAGCTGTTCGTAAGGTTTCAGCTTCTGATAAGGAATTAAAAGAACATGAAGATGAAGCAAAATGATTAAGCATTTATTTTTAATGAGTATACTTACTGACTCAAGTTTCTTATCATCTAAAAGCAATTTTTCCTCCTCATAAAGCGAACAAGGATGAACGAAGGGCAAAATTGTTTCTTCTTCGTCTTCTAATTGACGGCACATTTCCCCCAAACCAATAATTATGTTTACTTCTTTAACCAACTTAGCAAGTGATTTCTGAACGTCATCACTGATTTTCACCATCTTTATTAGTTTATGTCGTTGATGGTCTTTTAAACGATTGACCATTTTCTTCATGCCAATTAACTGGCATGAAAGATTTTCCTTTTCTTCCCTTAGTGATCGGTTCTTCTCCCCAAACTCATCGTTTAATGAATTTATTCTAGCCCTTTCAGCAGCAATCGCATCGCTTAAAGTATGAATGAGGGAAACTTGAATTGCAATATCTTTCATTGCTTGGTCATTCCGTTTTTGAAGGTCGTCATAATAGACTCGCCGTTCTTCTGTTGCTTTTAAATAGTTGGTTCTTAAATTGTTAAATTCCGCCAATATAGACTCAACCTTTTTCTCAAGTTTTATTCTTAGTGAATGCTTGTCTTCGATAAGCTGAATATCATACTACTTGAAAATATCAGTAGTCAATCTACCTTATTTTTCATCCCGTCTCGTATGTTAGCATATTCGCTTCTGGCTGTTTGCTCCTTTTGCAGAAAGTAACGATCGAAAGCAACATAAACATCTTTTAACTCATCGATTTTTTGTGCATGTCGAGTAACCATATAAGTCTTCTCTATTTAGGGAATCATTAAAGTTTAGGTAAATGACGCACCGGCCTCGTATTCTCGCTTCATAATTGAAAGCTCAGCGCCAAATAAATGTTTCATCTTTTCGAGACGCTCATTTTGAACACCTTTTTCAATTTAGATGAAGATATTTAAGACAATTTTATTATCGTATCAGTAGTATTTGAACAACATAGTAATATATGCTAGGTGAATAAATAATAATATAAAGTGACTGTACATCATTTCTTGTGGAAACCTACCTACGAATGAATCCAAAGATTGGAGATGACTGCGAAGAGACATCATATACTGTTCTTCTGACTGCGCTAAGTTTAAGACCAAAGTCTGCAATACATCATCTTTTCTTATTTTTGAATGTTAATTATGTAACTATGTACCTATCATTAATCCGTTCGAAGGTACTTTTCAAAATTTCTAGATCTTTCTTTATTTCCTTAGTTTTGGCTTTTCGAAATATCAGTCTCCATTGATGATCGAGTGTTAATGAATTTATTTTCGACATTTGTTCTTCATTTTCCAATTTGTTCTATAAATATATGCTTTAATTTAAATACATATTAAACTTTTAAATATTTCTGCAATAAATCGCCTTTTTTCTTAGCTGTTGCAATAGCAGCCAAACGTTGCTTTATCAACTTTGCTTCATTATTTTCATCAGGTTTAGGTTTGCTTTTTTTCTTAATCACTCTACTCATCTTGTCGCACGACCTTCAACTAAACATGTGCGTAATGAATATCACTATGTAATAATTAGGATAAAGCACTTGATGTATCTTTAAATATTTTGAAATAAGATCCTAAAATAAATATAACATCTCCAGTAGATTTTGAATAAATACATTACACATTCTTAGGAAAATCAAATACTTCAGCATATTAAAATTGATTTAATTAAATATTTAGTTCCTCAAAGCTACCCAACACGTTATAATTGAAGAATTGTATTTGGAAATAATCGTCAATTTTACGACTTTATTAATTTCATGCAGGCTATAAAATCATAACTTTTTTAATTTTGGATTAATCGAGAGGGAAGCTGGTTAGAAGGTTAGATTAAGATAAGATCATGCAAATAAGTAATAATAAAATAAATTGCATGGGAAACTAAACTTTCAAATTCAGTTCAAATCCAAATAACGTTATAAATCTTTGAACCCTAAATTTTAACTACTTGAATTCATGACTTTGACTTACAACTTAAAATAAAGGAAACTGCAAGCACTTGATTTTATATTTTGTGCTATCCTCAACCAGACAAGTTGAGAATACTTCTAAAGCACCACTTGGAACATTTTTGGGGCATGACATTTTCATATGGGTATAACCGGTAAATTCATGTCACGACATTTTTATACAATGAGCCAAGCGTTCAACTTCGGAATGGTTTCCCCGTGTTATAATTAACATATTTTTGAATAATTGTATGATTTAGTAAATCTGCAATCAAATATGAGTTAATGAATAATAATTATCGTTAATGACACGGTTAGTAAAAGATGTCACCATCTTCATAGCTTATGTTATGCTAATAAGTAAGGTAAAAGCAAGAGGTACCCATAATATTTAACTTTATTTGGCTATAGGACACACTGAATTTAAACAATAAAATTAGCATTCATAAATTCGCTTTTGGTGTTATCTCAAATATGCGGTCAGTGAGAGGTTGTGCATTTAGAAAAGGCGCGTCGGAATTAATTTTTCCCACTCTTTGAATATTCAGTTTTCCTACCAGGTTATCAAATTACTGCTGCTTAATAGCGAGGTTGCGAACTATTTTTTTTATTTTTTGAGAAGAGAGTGATAGTTCTAATTGGGAGGGTTGATGCATTTTCCTTGATGATATCTTGGAATAAACTTATTCGAAAAAAGTTCGATAGACTCTTCGTCGTACACATCATTCATTTATCAGTCAACTTTTCCTAAATAAATTGGTGCATTTTCAGTACTGTTCGAACAGCATTTTGGAGTTCTATTAATTCTTTGAACTAGGTTGTAGTCCACTAGAGTTTATATAAACTAAGTCAATTATTTACCTAATAAGTCAAATTACCTTAGTGAGTAAATGATAAAATATCCGAAAAGTTGGCTTAATTTCTCAATGTTTTTCAGTAATTCCTCCTTTCATTTTTATAGATTTCAATGGTTGAATGCATTTAGTCCCTTTCGGAATCGGTATTATTATCCACAAGGATATAATATTGAGAACTTATCCCAATTAAAAATGAATTCTACTCCCAAAAATTCAAGTAACAATCGTTATTCTCGATAATAACGTGGGAAAAGGCAACATAAATGCCAGCTTTTAAAAGGAAAACTATTTTTGCTTATTTCTAATAATAAATAATAATCGATATAGTTGCCTTCAATTTATATCTTATGGCTATATTGAAAAGATTATAATTTTAATTTGAATAGGCAAAATTTAAAATTGATTAAAAACAATTAAATTGCTTGTAACATTATTGAGATTCCTTTGTGGGACATTCCACCAATGACCATGTAGAAATCCTGCTATAGAATATTACTCATAAATATTTAGCTATTAATGTTCACACGAGTCATGTTAGTGTTATTTGATAACTAATCGCTTTGCCAAACACACACTTCGCTATCTATATACGTACCGAATAAACGTATTCCGTGCTACACGTCTGTTTCCCTTATAGCTGTGGTATAGCTTAGCTTGTTCTGGGAGTCTAGCTAGATGTTGGAGAATCTGCCATAGAGGTTTCTGAGTCGTTCAGGTTTTACTAGCGTAGCAATCCGCTACACCTTCATTCCGACTGTTCTTAGACCCATTTCCTTGATAACTGGATTTGGGAACTCTGTTTGCTCCTCTTATGTTTTCACCAAAATTAATCTGCAAGAGGCAGAATAGGTAAATTTATTATTCAGTGAATAAGTTATTATTTCGTTTCATATTACTCGGTTTAGCTAACTTTTAAACGCATTTCAAGCGTTTTTAATCCAAAATTTAAGTACTTATTGAACTGTTCAGTAAGCGCCCTGCCCAAATGTTCTCCCCAATCATTCTCTTTCAACAATAGACTTCGGCTCTAGATAATATAATTGAGTGAGTAGCTAACTCCTATAACCCCTTAATCTACACAATATTAAAATAATCAAACGTCTTATTAAGTTATATTTGTAAAAATAAAACTTTAAATGCGTTTCACAGCTTGGATAACATTTGTCATCGACCCTGATTGGAATGAGATTTTATTATTGAGAGATTGAGCCAAATTTCCAACCTCGCCGGACAGTGGGTAAAGTCTGTTCGTCTATAGGCGGGTCCCCAACCCTTGCCAAGGCTGATATGAAGAACAGGTCTGAAAAATGACTTCCCTGGCCATGAAGTATTTGTGTTGGCCTCTGTTAATCGATCCTCATAAATCCGCGCATCAAACACTATTAGAGAATTGGCTGGAGCAACTCGATGCACCGGCCAATCACTGGCAATTAGATCACCAGGTTGGATGAAACAGGGAGATGCGACAAATATGGGAGTTGCGGGTGTTTTATTGGTTAAGAGGATTTGCCCTTTTGGAAGGAGGAGAAGGCGGATTCCTTCATGAGACAGTCTTCGACGCTGTTTGGTTGGAGATGAGTTGACTGCTGAATATGGACAACTTTTCCTTCTACTTAGATGAAAGTCCTCGTACATTGTCCCTTGTGATGTAAAAAAACGCACAAGACGATCTAAGCACAGATGACCTTGTTGAGACCAAATTGTGTCATCTGCTGGTTGGCAGTTCTCGTCATTCAGGACAACAAGAGCCGATGAAAGAACAGGTAGCCACTTATGGCCGATATGGCGATTGCACTCCCAGTAAGATATATGCGACCAAGGCTTTCTTCTATCTTCTTCCATGTCACAACCAGAGTCGGTTTCATTAGTTTCGTAGACGTTTAACGCTCCTTCCTCCAAATGCATTGCTCTTGACATTGTGAGCATTTTCTCTAAGATGAAATTAGAGGACTGATAAAATAGTTATTTCACGACAATTGCTATATCTAAATGCTAAAATTCTTCTCTTATGGTTTACTTGGAGCCGTGATTGTACTTATGACTGACGAATATTCGGCAGGTCTGTGTGACAAGTGATATATATATTTGACAAGCGCGTACAAGTGGTTGAAATAATCAAAAACATTTCCCTACAGCATAATCATGGGTACATTAATGGATTCAGAAGTTGAACTGCTTTGGTATTCGACGAATTTTTTAATAGTGCTTACTATTTGAAAAAAAAAGATATTAGATTTAAAGGAACTATTTTCCAGTACTTCATCTATTAGTAAAGACTTTCAAAAGTGAAAAAAACAGTGTTTAATGCATGAAAATGGTAGAAGCTTTCAAGATGGATAATGGACTTGAAATAAGTTTTAGCTTTTTATTATTTCTTTTATTAAGCAGAAAGCTCCCACAAATGTCGCATATTTATCGAAACTTATAAAAGCGGTATAAGTGAACACTCTGATTCAATTCAATTTCTTATTTGAAAATTTGCGCTAGTTTAATACGCAGAATTATGAAATTCTATTTTACATAGGGCATTTTAACTTGAAAGATTTGTGTGCACCTGCGAAAAGTTTCGATGCTTTAGTAGATAACGAAGTTCCATAAAAGTTTTTTAATGTCGTGGAAGATTTTTTAATAAATAGTAAAAGACAATTACATCGAAAGATAGTGTACCTCCGATAGAGTTTTTTGTGCTAGAAATAGCATATTTTAATCGATGGAACAGAAACCAGATAATATGATTAAAGAAAATATATCGGTTTCATGCAAGGAACTTCTGTTCCTTACAAAACTCTCAGTTTAACTAGACAGCCCGCATGTTTTGTTGGTGGAAAGCAATATGGAACCACAATGAAGATTCAGAAGACAAAATGTTAAGCCATTTAGACTTTAAACATCAAGCTCCTTTACTTAAATAAAACATGGATGATTGATAATTTTACAGATTTGGTGGCTTGATATTCTTCTCAAATTCAGTCCCATTCCTCGTCATCTATTAGTTAAAACACAATAGAGAATAACTATGATCAATGATGTTTGTGATCAACTGGTGTCTAATCCAATTGCCAATATCTTGTATATTTGTCGGAAGTCTCCTTCTAATTCTCAAGGGAAATAAGCTCATTTTAACTTAGATAAATCTGTTCATATCCGAACAAATTCGTTATTGATTACTCCAAATAGATCGACTTTGAATAACTCGTAAATATTACATTACAAAGTTTCTTGCAGTGTCATACAATCAAAATTTGATGAAACAGCAAGCCGCTAATCACAATGTTAAAGTTAGTGTTTTCATTTAGTGTAAAGAGCAGGAGACCAGGGTTGGTGTTGCCTAAAATAACTACATGACACTGAAAGTCACATGGATTGGCGTCTCTACTAGATATTTTCGTCAACAAAATTTTCTCTTCCCTCACACTCCTTTGTCCCAAGCCTCCACCTAAAATTGCTCAAGTGGCGTCGGAGTCTGACGAGAAACCATGTGAAGAAACCTGTATGAGTGGCAACTGACTTCCGCATTCTCCCCCTGATCTGATGATTTCCACAGTAAATGAATATGAAAGAACCTTGAATTTCAAAAATGTCTGATTTCTTCTCCAATTTATATGAGTTAGCTTTGTGAATCAGTAGGACAAAAGCTGATTTCAAGTAGCAGTTGCTGTGAGGAGTAAAATAATTATCTTAAACCACACCAATGAAGGTCATAACGTGTGTTTACTTGAATTGCGAAAATTTGGACCATAATGCAAATAAATCGAAACTGAGTAATGTGGACAGAATCAACCAATCAATCTGGCAGATATTTAGTACTCTACGTGAATAATGGCAACTCAATGCTGGCATAATTCAAACAGGCTGACGCCCATGATGCCATAATTTCTTATTGTCACCTGATTGGCATCGCTAAAGGCATTTCCTTCTGTTTCCATGTTTTCAAAAATCTCCAACATTTGAGCGATATTATCCAGCAATTCAAAGACAATCTAACTTATCACATGATTGTCAGGAAAATTATCAGAAGGGACAAAAGTTTTGAAATTAAAATAACAAATACACAAATTCAAGTAGAAAATATTGAATAATACAATTTTCATTGACGGCGAAAGGGCCTCAACTCGCCAAATCGTATTGATAGTGGATGACAAAATGAGAGAACACTGATGAATTCTCAAATAAGGATTACTAATAGAATAACAGTGATAAAAATGGTGTGAGATTGCAAGATGAGTAAGAAGCCTAGACACCTTAAAGAAAGGCTAAGGATTCGAAAAAAATCATTGAGAATTTTAACAAAATGGCAAATGGGCGGTTTGTAGTGTTTATTAGGGCTTGTTTGAATGAAAAGAACGACGAGATTTTCGCCGTCGATCATTTCAAGGCGCCTATGAAAAGTTGACGCCAGTCTCATCATAAAAAAATTGACGGAAATTGCCCAGGAGCCTAATCTACAAACCCACCAAACATACAATCGAATCTTTATTATTCACACCCACCTCTCATAACCTTTAAAAGTATTTAAAATCCTTTTTTAGTCTAAAATTAAAGAGCAATCAATGTTATAGTGCTAATGCGCATAATTAGATATACAAACAGATATGACCAAATTCTAGCTTTGGAAGAAGAAAAATTAAATTTTTTAACTTAAAACCCCTCATTAACAGAGATCGTGGCAGGTTTTCGGACAAAGACATCCGTTTTTCACGTCGAATTATGTCGGTATTGAGATGGGCATTTATAAAATAACTATGCAATATAGGGTATTATTATTGCAAGCAATATCGCAAAAGACAATGGTGGAAAAGAGCATACACTTAAACTAAGATCGTAAACCGATATTATGAAACGCAAAGAACGTACCGATAAAATTCCAGAAGAATGTGGGTGTATTGGCAATGACAGTCCCGCAAGAATGGTGGAGGTCTTAGCAATCAACTTTTTCAGTTTTTCGTTTGAAAAATCTCCGACCTCCGTCTGACAGACACTTTTATACTGAGGGGGTTCATACACAGCACTGTTTCGTTTGTTCGATTGGTCAAGGCTCAAGTAGCCAATAAGACTCTTACGCACCTGATACACGCGCGGTAGTGTTGAGCGTTGGCGACGACAAAGGTTACTAGTATTTCATCAAAGCGGCTACTGCGGCGACACTGCGCAGCAGTAGTGAAAACGAAGACGACGCCATAGAGACCTGACCGAACTATGGCGTCTTCTGACTCAGGCGCCGCACACACCTCCGCACCGTTTGACATACACGTAGATATCCATACACACAAACACACTTCAGCCACGCATTTTAGCGTTCATTTAACCTCTCGGCGCCTACTGTACGGCGTCAGAACCATATGGGAGTAGGTGAACACAGAAGGGATAGAAGTCAGTCAAATCGTCTCCACGTCAGAATTTCATGTTGGGTCGGGGAGAATGCTTTGTCAACTGCTACGCCTGGTTGGTTGGAAATAGAAGAGGGGTGTTTAGTAAGTGCGTTCACATTCCCGACTGGCGACTAGGGGGGTTAGGCGGGTGAGGGGAAGGGGAGGAATGAGATGAGGAGAAAGAGAAAGAGGATAAAGAGAAATTTGGCGTCGCTGGCTTCTGGGCGCCAAAATTGTAGCTTTCACCCCCACTACGACGCCCTCTAAAACTCACAAGCATTTTTTGGGAAATTAAAAAACCATTTACCCATTCTCTTTCTCTTTGTGGCGACACAGTGTATTCAATTGCAAGAGGATAGTCTATACAATATATAGTTTTGCATACCTGATATTCGTAGATATCTGAAATTTTTTAATTAGTTTTTGAATTCCATTCAAATTATAGGCATACTTTTTTCTATTGCTACGTTCATTAAAATACTAAAGCCGTTTGTTTTGCTTTCGCTGCTAAATTCGTCGAGAAATTGGAACCGAATCGTTAAATTAGGTGGGTTATTCAATTTCAGAAACCCACGAAGTCGTCATAAGTTAAGTTGTTAATGCCTCCGGGTTAGAACACGAGGCATTCACGACTGGTCTACTTTGAATTTATGGCCTCAATTAAAGCCAGTTTGGGTGGACACAAGTATGGTTCAAAAGATTGCAGAATTACGCCACTTCCTCGTACGCCTAATTCTTGCAGACCGGCTTACAATTATTTCACAAAATATTAGTGGATACATCCGAGTTTGCTTATTTCAAAAGTCGGTGTTACAACTCCAGTTTTAAAATTTACATGATCACTCATTTACTAACAGGATCGGAATTGTTATCACTTGCCTTTTGCATGGAAATCAGACGGTAAAGTCCTTGTTGATCGTCACGGCTGAGAGATGCTGATCCGGACGGGGCAGAACAAGATCATTACCTTCCGCGAACATTCACATTTGGCATTTGGCAGCTTCACATATCACTGTTTTGGCTCGCAATTTCTTCCAGACTGAGATTTACGCTGTTGGTGGCAGTAATTGGAACGACAATTTGATCAAATAGAAGATTTCTCTCAAAATTTTGTTTGATTTGCCCCAGCTAAGACTTTATGAAAAAATATCATTCTCGACTGTTTGTCATCAGATGACACAAAACGAGCATTAGGATAGAGCAATTTTCACTTTTTTGAACCCAATTTTGCCAAAATACATACATACACGAACTTTATTTGAAAATTTGAGGTGCGAGATACCCGAATAAAAACATTTAAATACGTGATGTCATATAAAATAATCACGAATGATAGAAATTGCCCACGAATCTCATTTTCATTTTCTCATTGAAACACGAACTGTCGGTTTATTCAGTCATTTGTGTGCTTTATATCTACCTATATATAAGTGTTTCATGACATAAAATGATGAGGACTCAAATCCCAAATAGCCTTAAAGCTAGAAATAAAAAGATCGTAATTCCTATCTTCTAGTTTGAGCTAATGATTCATCGGAAGTGGTGTCTGGTTTGAATTGAATTGAATTGAGCATAGTTGACCTTTATATTTGCCAATCACAGATATTATTGTAGAATGCGCTGAGAATTAATGTTTTCAGCTTGTAGGGGATTGTTAAATTAATAAACTTTGATCTAAGACTCCCTGACTTGAACTATCACGATGAGGAAGACATATTGCGAGTAAAGGGTTTATTAAAATTATATGAGATCAGCAAAAACTGATTAATTATTGGAGACATCTAGCATAATTTGAATGAACATTAGTAGCTGACTAATTGAGCAGTCCTCTACATGCAGGGTCGCACCCTTTAGAATGATCTGGTGTGCAGTTCAATTGTGTTAAGAATGCTCACTCCACAAACTTTTAGCTCGATTTTATTCCCATTCTTTTGGAGAAACAGACACGAGAATCGATTTCTATTAACTGAAATTCCATAGGCAATTATTATTTTACTTGAAAGCTATTATACCTGAATATTAATGAGGTTTCTTCTATTTAAACCATTTTTGATAATACTAATTTGTTTCTTCTAGAAAACATAAAAGATTAAAAGCTGAATAAACGTTAAAATTATGAAGGCGAAATCAATTAAGAGGACTAAAGTCCATTCGGATGGCAACGGGTCGAATTAAAGGCTCTTCTGACATCGTGACCCTACCTAGAGCGTCCCGATTGACCTTCTCGATAATCGTCACTCCTTGCCGATCGGCTCAACAGTTCTCAGCATTTAACGACTTTTCCTTGACGTCTGCACAGTACTGTTCGTTTCTTTGCTGTGAATATTGGGGATAATGCGATCAATTATGTTTGAGGAGATGGAGTTTCTGAAGCCTGTATAGTTAGTATTACTTCTTGAATAAATATTCAAACAGAAGATAGTCACTTGAATTTGCAGATAAGTATCAAATTAAATAAGTAAATAAATAAATGGCACAATGAATAAAATATGAGCGCAAATTAGACTAATAAATTACTGAAGGCTGATGGAATTTTTATCAGGGAGCTTTGAAATTCCTTTCAACAATGTACTGAGTCACTTTCTCAATTTTTCAATCATTGCTGTTATCGTATTCTGCCACACCGCAGTGCGACTTTTACAAGCTGAAAGCGTGGAAAGAGGTTGACGTGGGACGAATGGGAAGGATTCGCCAAAAGGTGTGCACTGGAGAAGTGTGAATTGAAACAGTAAGAGGCTTAGTATTTTGAATTTCAGAAACGTTAAGTTTTCTTCTACTCCCAATGCACACAGCCTACTGTGCGGTGATGTTTTGCTGTTCCTTAGTAATAATTTGACACACAAGTTCTTAGATGAAGGGGTTGCGCGAAAGACTTCCTGCACGTGGTGCACCCTGGGCAGCGTATGCTCATACGGCAAAAGAGTTGACTTCTGACTTCAAACTACCATGACCCCACTGTATGTCATTTTCGACCACTTCCACAGTACTCATTTTACCTTTTTCTCTACCTTTGTGTCTGTCTCTTTCACATCTTTAAACCACTCTTCCGTTCCTCCATATCGATTTTTTTCACTTTGATGTTCCTCCTCTCCTCTATGAAGCCCGTAGTCAACTAAGGGGCTAATGATACCTATCAAAACGCCTTCCATTTGATATAAATAAATAAATCTCTCGAAATTCTCTTGTCCTTATCCAAAGTATGGTTGTGGAGCTTAAAACACAACCGAAGCTAGAAACCTTACCTTTGACCCTAATTTTACTTGAATGGTTTGGTACAAGCCCCCTAACTCCAAGAATGCATCAAGTACCATAATCCTAATTTTAAAAAAATGCCTAATGGAGGCTGGATGACCTGTTAACTAGTGAACGGGTGCTTTGAACTATCCAAATTTTCTGCCAAGTCAAAAGATCATTTATATGGTATTTCATGTTTGTGTGTGATCCCCGCAAGTTTTTAACAATGATACCTGCTGGCGAATCTTTAGAAGAACCGAAAAAGGGTGACAAAATCACA